AGCAATTTACACTTATCTTTTTATAAAGTCCTCACTAAGGCACTGCTTACAACTTACTGTTACCTAGTATCCTCACCTTAAAAAGTGTGAAGATGGCACTACAAAAGCCAAAATGCTGATTTGAGAGTATGGGAAGAACTTGCAGGCATTCTTATAAGTATAAAATGAAGCTAACTCTCAACAAAAATTAAGCTAGGAATTCTGTGCTTAATTGTGTGTGATCACCCACCTCAATATTCATGGTATCCAGGTATCGATTAATAACACAGAAAAATTAATGAATAATTTCCACTGACAACATAGCAATAATTTTATAAATGCACTGAATTAATTTTGTGAAACAATTTGAAAGTAAGGAAAAAGTTCAGTTGTCTTTCCACATCTGCCAATTTCTTTGTTAAGCAGTCCGTTCTGTTATATTTTCTTTACATCCCCATATTAATCCTGCAAATTCAGCCTCACAGTCATTATGATTTCACTTTAGCTCCTGACAACATTCTTCCAAAGACATAATTTTGCATACCATCTCCTTCCTGCAGATCCCCACATCTTCAGCAATGTCTCTAGAAAAGCCTGACTGTTTTCTCTTCCTACAAAACAAACAAACAAACAAAAAACCCCAAAAAACAGAAAGACCGACTTTCCAGTAGGTATTAAACATACTATTACACTGATCTTACCTTTCAGAAATTATTTTTCTAGGTCTATGACCCCTTGCAATTTTGCTCTGTTTAGACTCCAGTTATGATTCAATGAAGAGTGGCTGGTAGTCTTTAAATATTTTGGCTTTGTTCCCAGAACAATGTATAGTTCTTAACCACATCACAAAGAGTTATTGCAAACTAATTTTCATATTCACTGTACTATGCACATGAGATTTGAGCCCCTGACACTGCAAACAAGAAAATAAGAGCCCATGTCTCAGCTCTCTTCTAGATTTCAGCTAACTACAGAATCATAGAATAGCAGAGGTTGGAAGGGACCTCAAGAAACTGTCAAGTCCAATCCCTCTGCCAAAGCAGGTACCTTACAAAGGGTCACACAGGTACGCATGCAGATGGGTCTTGAATATCTTCAGAACTTTCTATGTTCAACTACTAGACCATTAATCCTTTTCCTGTTGGCACACTGCTGGCTCACAGCCAACCTGTTGTCCACCAGGACCCCCAGATGCTTCTCCACAGAGCTCCTCTTATCCCCTAACCTGAACTGATGCATAATTTCTTCCTCCCTGGGTGCAAAACTCTACACTTACTCTGGTTAAACCTCATCAGATTCTTCTCTGTCCAACTCTCTAGTCTGTCCAGGTCTTGTTCAGTGGTAACACAGCATTCAGTTGTGTCAGTCACTCCTCCCAGCTTTGTATCCTCAGCAAACCTGCTGAGAATGGCCTTTATCCCTTCATCCAGGTTGTTGAAGAAGACGTTGAATAAGACTGCACCCAACACTTACCACTGTGGAATACTGCTAGTTATAGGCCTCCAACCAGACTCTGCACTGCTGATGACAATCCTCTGAGCTCTGACAGTAAGCCAGTTCTCAATCCACCTCACCAGCCACTCATCTATCCCACATTTTATAAGTTTCATATCAATGATGTTGTGGAATACGGTGACAAACCCCTTGCTGAATTCAGGGTACACAATATCCACTGCTCTCCCCCCATCTACCCAGCCAGTGGTAACATCATTGAAGGCAATCGGGATGGTCAAGCATGATATCCCCTTGGTGAATCTATGTTGATTACTCCTGATAACCTTCTATTCCAATTGCTTGTAGATGGCACCTAATGGAGGTAGCTAAAACATAACAAAGCTTAGATTATTTCATTATTAAACTTAGATCCTCAAATGAATCTAGGCACCATTGGTTTATGTCCATTCTACATCTGATATTTCATTTCAAAACAAACCTATTCACTAAGAAAAATTGCTGAGTACTCTAATAAGAATCTTGAAGAACCCAAGGATGATAACTAAAAAAAAGGAAGATGGTCAGAGATAGCTGATGTGCAGTTAATTTTAAATCAAGTGATATTTTTAAAAATGTTTGCTGACTCTGGTTTACCTCTGAAATTCATTCTCACTCGTAGTTAGGTTATTAAAAGATATTTAAAATGTATATCATATATATGCGAAACGCATAATTGACAGATAGTCTTTGACCACACCTATTTTCTATCTTCCAAAAGCCCTAGAGGAAGACAACCATGTATGTTTCCTTCAGGAATAGGACACTTATTTTTGGAAGAAAAAATTATAACACAGAAAGCCATAATGTTGTGTAGACTTTTCAACTAATAGTCACAGGCGTTTGATCACCATGGAATTAGAAACATCATGATGTGTTACTCCACATTTTACAAGCAAAAAAGTATCACATAGAGTCTTATTACTTAGAAGAACAGCGGAGCTTGAAGCCCATGCATTAAATTTGAGCAGTCTTGGTGAAAATGAGATCTCATTCCCTTATTATGCAATCCGACATCCTTCATCTAAAACCAAATGAGATAATAAAGTAAGAGAGATGAGAGAGATTTTCTGCATAAAGAACCATATAATCTTTTATCTCATTTAAATAATAGATTCATAAAGTCTTTTTTTAAACATCCAACCAAATGACACAGTAAAATATTAATAAATATGCATATTTAATAAAACTAATACAAAATGCTAAATGGTACACAGATTGATATCCCTAGAGATATATGTCATAATACCAACAGGTTTATTTTGTGATGGTTGTTGGTATGAACTTTGTAAACATTCATGTAAAGCAACTGATCACAGAAATTATGCACAACACGCCATCAAAATACTTCTTTCATATATTCTCACTAAAGCGGAAAGTATGCTGATGCTTAAGGCTGAATACCTGCTCACACACTCTGGAACAAAGGTAATATCCTTAGTGCTTTACAGGAGATTTTCTTAACTTCTCATAAGAAGAGAAAGCAACCATTGTTGGGCATCAATGTGATGGGATATTTTCAGGCATGACTATAGTTTCCTCATATATGTATGTACTGTGAGGCCTAAAAGTCCCTTTTCTCTTCTCTGCCTTCCTTTTATCTGGGTAAAGAAAAAAATTTTATTCAATTTTTCCAAGTTAGAAGAGGAAATTTTTCTAAGTGATATTTTGCAAGGTTTCCAAGCAAAAAAAGAAGTCTACTCATTAAAAATCATAAAGGTATGGAAAACAATGGCTGAAGAATATTGAGTATTATGATGTTTACTATTAAAATTATAAGAGCCTCAAACCAAAATACTGACTGTGCAGAATGTTTTCCAAATAAATTAGCTAAGCTACAAATACACAAAACCTATTAAACATGTCGATTTTCTACTAATAATAAATGATGTACACTTCCTAAAGTGTTTACAACTTCAAAAATAAATTTATGTTAGAATTTTTAATTTCAAAAGGTTAAAAGTGAATTCAGTTTTCCAAAGGAAAAAATATGTTGAAATTCTCAGTCACTACCACTGTAGTCAGATTCATACAAAAGCACCACTGGGGAGACTTTCATTGCATAAATGTGTGTGTCCTCCCAATCATGCAGTCAAACACTCATCAACAAGGCTTCATCAACAAGCTAGGACTACCATTTTTATTCTCACCTTCACCATTAATTAAAAACTGTTTCAGGTCCGTTCACATATTAATAAAACATCACAGTAATCTGACAGACTAATATCAAATTGGCACACTCTATAGCATCTAGAATAAGGGAATATTTTGAAAATATTATTCTTCTGGGAAGAAAATACTCAAAAGTGTTTCACAGGATAAGCTCAGATTATCCTATGATTCCTCAGTGTTTGCCTTACAATAGACTTATTTATCTTCACAAGAAAATTGAAACAGAATAAATAATTATTTTAAATAAAATCAGGTAATGATTATAGAGAGTTCACATATATATATTATGTGTGAATTCAAAATATACATTGAAATTTCACTCAAACTATACTTACAGTTGTTGTCTTTTAATATCTACTCACTTTCTGGTATTTTAAATAAATACCCGTTTTGATTATTCAACGTAAAATAGGAGCCTTTTTAATTAGGCATCATGGTATGATGTGTCTTAATTGGATTTGTTATCTATGTAGGAAGATAAATGATTTGAATTTAGTACCCACAGTGGATTTACAGGTGTGGCAGCTTCTTTTTAATAGGAAATTGGAGTGATTTATTACTGTATCATTGAAAAAACAGGAGCTTCCAGGTGCCAGCATTTCCATTCCCCTTTCAAAATATCTGAACACTCTTCACTGTGACCCCCTATTCTTTTACATTCTCATAAAACAAAGATGTTTTATTAATATACATAATTATTTAATGTATTTTCTTCCTTTAAGCAATACGTTCATTCAAAGAAGCGTTCCAAACTGCATGTGGAGTGATTAAAGATGGTACAAGTCCTTGTATGTGGCTTCCTATTGAATTCTGTAGCATAACAACTTATTTATAGAGGGATGATAGTCACTCTTGGGAGCGTTTAATGAATGAGCATAATTGAATATAGGGTGAGCAACAGCATTAATTGTTTTTTAATTATGTGCTTTCATTTTGTTAGCATTTACTTTGTCTTACACAATGAAAATGACAAAAAGTTTGTCTGAATTCATAATGAAAATAATGATTATAGCTACATCCTACTCATAACTTTGAATTTGTTACATATTAAGAAGAAAACTATAGAATGTTTGGAAAATAAAACAGCTGAAATTCATACATCTATCCTTTGTATTAGTTAAACAGTAAAGAAAAATCAGAAAGGTCCTAACATCAGAGCATTTCTGGTAATCACACATAGATATAATCTACAAAGCTAAAAGGTATTTAAAAATAAACAAAGGCTTGTCATTTACTGTAAAAAACACCATTAACATTGTTCCTTATAAATACAAGAATTCAAATCTTAAACAAAGCTTAAAAAACATTAACAGTCCCTAAGTGTTTCACTTAAGTAATCATCAGACAACAATGAAAAACTTGTTGAAACAGAAAAATAAAAATAGTCAATTTTTATCTACTATTAACTGTTCCCACAACCAGCTGCAGCATTAATTCAGAGTTTTTAAACCTGTTAGATACAAAAAAAAAATACAGATAAAATAGTTACTTTCTGTAGATGAAGTTATTCTAAAACCTAAATGAGATATCCTCAGAATAACTTGCAAACCCACACTTATCAAGACAACTAATTTTTCTGTTGAATATTTCTTATGAACAAAAAATGTCCTACACTAAAAAATGTAATGATTTGCTTATTTTCATTCTTTCACATGCTTCACCTAAAGGAAAGGCCATTTTCTTTCATGGCATAATGTCACTATTATTATCTTCATATTTTCAAATGAAGTAGTCACCTTAACAGCAGCTTGACTACATGAAATATATACTGCCTACCAGGATACATTATTGTTCTACAATATGCACTTAAAATGAGGCAAAATTAAAGCAGTGTTCTATCATTTCATCATCATAACAAATAAAGGCTAAGTTGTTTTACCCCGACATTCTCCTTTATAACATCCAAAAGGGTGTACAGCATCAGTTCAACTGATAGCATAAGTTTACATTTTTGGATCTGATAGGAGGTCTGGGATCAAAATGCAAGCAAGCAACCAACTAAGCAAACAAAAATCTGTGAGGCTCATCTTTCCTCAATAAACTAAATTTAGAATACTTTTCACTTAAGCGATTGCCTATTTTATAAAGCGTCTAATGCTATCCACTATGTATAAGTGAATATATATAATAATATTTCATTCATAATATATAATAAATGAATGATGGTTAAATGAAAGAAAAGGAAGCAAATCTATTTGAACTTATGCACTTCATATAGTTCATTTTTTCAGACAAATTGTACTCAGAACTGCTTTTTAGTCAGTCATCTTATGAGACAAATACTGAAAATCTTGAACGAGTCCATTCTCTACATCTTTCTCTGACAGTTTCTATCTCCCTAAAATCTTTTCTACGCAATTGTAATAGAGAAGCAACTGTAGAAAACTTGCTGCTCATATTCCTTCTGCATTGTACGTTAGCCCCAGCAACAGCATTTCAGAATTGTATCTTAATTGTGATCTCTTATCTCAGCATTTTTATGAAATTGTGGAAAGCTGTAATATCGTAATCATTAAACTCAAATTTCTAATGGTGTCTCAGATGAGTGTTGCACTTCACACAGTAGAGAAGCAGTAATGTATTTTAGTAATAGAAGACAGTGATTTAACAAAGTTTTATACCAAATAAATCAGCTGTTTAATGAGATTTGATGGCAAGGTCCACTCCATTATTGACTGCATAAAGGACAGGGTCAGATGAAATTGTCAGGGAGACCCTCTCATTGAGTCATGAGATTCAGAGTGGACTTCCATGCTTTTTAGGCTCCTTAGTCCCAGACATGGTCAGTGTTCTAAAGGTTTATGTGCACAGTCAATCTGAAATAAAATTTAGGAAGCTTTGGAAAATTTCAGCAAGCTTTTATTCACTTATCAAGGATCTCCCATAGGTAAGCAATCTCTCAACCTCAGGGCATAACCTTGAGAGCTACCCCCACTCAAGGGAAGATCCTGGCACGCAGCCCACAGCCATGCAGGCAAGCTCCAAATGCTCTAGGCTGTCCTCTATTTAAGATGATTGACTGGGAGTCATATTTGCATACCAAACATATTTTGGTTAGTACCTGCTCAAATAGGGCTAGGCAATTGTTGTTGTGTGTAGACAGGTGCAGCTATCATGACTGGACACATCCATCAAAATCGCTGATGGTTATCAGAAAATGTTAATGTTAATGTTCGTATATTTTGAGGAAAAAACCTTTCTACAGAATTCATAAATGGGTAGATGTGGTCTCATATCTTCATTGCTACATATGTACAAGATTTCCAGAGGTGGATTCTGTTGTCCACCAAATGAAAGAAAACATCTCTGCATAACTCAGCACACTGAGACCATACAGTATAAAGACATAGAGAAATAAACATCATCAGTTCATTAATTCATCCTCAATTATCAAAGCAGCTTCATCAAGATATGGCACATCCCTGAGCAGCAGTCTAGAAAGGCTTGAGTTTGTTCATTGAAGATATACTCATGGAAAAGCCATTGGACAATATGAAGGCATTTCTGTCTACTGTATAATAGTCACATTAGAAAATAAATATTTCAAAAGTTTTTGTTAGAGGCATTCAGATGCACGCTTGTGGAAAACAAATTTAAAATAATTTCATACTCATACAACATGTATGTTATCTTATTTGTGGATTGGGATGTAGCAAGTCAAAAGCATGTCAGTACAAATGCAGGAATTAATCTTACCCTACTCAGTGCAAATGGAGGTCAGCAGCAGGTAAAGGTAGCTGAGATAATATTCCTCGTATACATGATGACTATAGCAAAGATCATTCTCCATAGAAGAACTTCAGAAGAGAAATATGTATACTAGTTCAACACGAGGAGTAAAATTAACTTCATCATAACTAAATAATACTTTTAATGGAGTTGCTCTGGCTAAAGTTACATTATTCCACATGAAATATGTTCAAAGACTTTTACTGTTCTTTTCTAGAGCACAAAGAGGTTCATAACTCAACAAGAAATTGTTCCCTTGATTTTATATTTGATTATCATTCCAGTAAAGTAAATTCTATAGCATATTCAAAGAAAACATCTTTTATTTTGATCAGCTATATTAATAAATCAAGAGAGAATAATAACAGCAAAACTGTCATTCTGTCAAGTAAATCTATGTATTGTGCACCAAGTCTCAGAAATGGAAAAAAAATTAAACTTAATTATCCTGCTTTATGTACAACCTAAATTTCCTCTTCCGTCTGCCACCTACACTCACTTTATCATCTCCTATTTACGTCTCCTAGAGAAATGCAACTGTTCTTCGAACAGGAAACAGAAGGAATATGATTTAAATTTGACAGTAACCACTCTTTCACAGTTAAAATGCTCATAGAATTGCCAATCTTAGTACATACACAATATTTAAAACATTATACTATCTAAATACATTTAAACAAAGTATCAAAACCATTGCAATAACAAAGAAATCAAAATCACCACTGCCTTGGGAAATGAGTGAAGTGTGATGTGAAATGTGTAAGTAGCACTCTTACCCACAGCAGCATTGTCTCTAGACAGCTATCACTTTCAAAAGCTAAGAACAGATAGTGAGGAAATAATTTCACATCCAGCTGAAATGGCTCAGGGTATTTGTTAAAGGAGCATGTATTTACTTGAGATGGAATTTCACTGGAATACTAAAGTTATAACATAGGAATACTAATAATCACTTCAGAGTCTCCTTTGAAGTAGAAAAGCAGGATTTAGGTATAAGGAATACAGTCAGAGAATTCAGGGCCTGGGACACAGATTTCCATTTTCATGCATCCCCTGGTTTGCACACTCAAATATAGCCTGTTTCTTACAATTTTTTTTTGCTCATTTAATTCTCCCACTGTTGTATCTGAGGGCCAGATCTTAAAAAGGACTCGCATGCTAAGAGGGGCATAAATTAAATGTAGACATGGAAAAAATGCTGAAACTGAAAGCCTCTTTCCTAATTTCACTGGAAATTACCATAAAAATTCAGAAGAGTCTTAAGAACATTCTGGGATATATGTTCTGTGGGTTGTAGACTATTTTCTTATGTTGTTAGGACCTCACAACAGATAACACCAAGAACTGTTTCCAAGACTCTGCCCTGTACCTCACCTCACCACAACACTGAACATCCATGATGGGTGTAAACGTCATGGAGCCCCAAGATTATGAGAAGGTTCTCTGTTATGACATGATTTTGAATTCCTCTGATAAAGATAATGGAATAAAGATATTTCACACAAGTATAAATATATTAAACAAAACATGTCTACTTAAAATACGATGATGGCGTCCCACAGAATTTTACATCCTCATCTTATAACTGAGAAAAAAAGATGCAGCAGAGTTTGTGAACAAATGAACTTCTGGTAAAAATAAATCACTTTATGAATTGTATTTTTCAGAGAAATAATGAAATTAATAGACCTGTTCTGAAAACATGGTTCTGGTAGATCGTGTACTTATTTAACACCCACATAAACTAATTTATGAGTGCAAAAAAATCTCCACTCAAGTCATTTCACACTCCATTTGTGGAGTTGCTTATTCCAGTTTGCCCTGATATAGACTAAAAATGTGCTCTTTCGTTATTTCATCTTTTCTTACTCTGTCCTTGATCACTGTATTGAGGGGAAAGTATTTTTAAAATATAATCTCAACATTCAATTTTTTAAGGAAACATTAAGTGAGGATCCTGACTTTTGATATATGCAGATCACAGTGGTTCCAATAAGTCCTATATATACACACATATATATATACATATGTATTCCACAAAAAAAAAACAGTTTTAAAATGCAAATGTATTTTTCAAAAAATAAGAACTCTGATGAAGTGACATTAAGCACCTACTGTTAACAAGTGTGCACAAAGGAGTCTTAACGATCTAAAGATGATACAGCAAACATTACTCAGTCATAATTCACAGGCGTAAACTAGGACAGGTACCATCTAACAGATAGCTCTATATTCATTAAAATTCAATATCTCGACAGTGCTGTCTTGCGATCTCCTTAAAAATCTTAGCTTTATCCCCTTCAGGCCTTTTGGAAATTGAACTTCTTGACCCCACACAATTTTCTCAATTCACACACATCATCCTGGCTATCTACTACCTGAAGAGGTCCTGATGGGGTCAAAGATATTATCTATAAATTCTGAACAATATCGACTAAGATGGAAAAAAAAAAAAAAGGAACAACTTTTTCATTCTCCAAATCATGGTTTTGGACAAAGGGGATATTTTTCCAAATGTGAATTATTTCGATATATGACCCATGGTTGATGAATACTTTTAAACATAAAGTAGTCTATGGACTGCTGTACCTAATTGAATACAGAAGAGTTAACGACATAAGAGGCAGCAATTTGTTTTTCCTTTAGGCATTTTCTTATATCAGAAAAAAAAATCTGAAAATTTTAAATATAAAAATCACAATATTATTAAATGCCCTGCTGAAGAGCATGCCTTAGAACGGCGGTAGTACCATGAAGATTAGTAGAAACTGAAATATTTACCTAAATACTGAAAAACAGAATGACAAATGTTGAAAGACAATACAGCGATCCTCCAGAGGTGATCACATCACATTGCACTGAAGTGTCTACATACATACAGTAGTATTAAAAAAACAAACAAAAACCATTCAAATACCTTACCAGATATTCCACATGTGTATGGGACCAAAGGGGATGCAAGAGAATTCAAGAGGCAGGGCTAAAGGGCTGGCAAAATGTCGAGTATTATGCCAGCAAGTGGCGCACATCCTCTTTTCATCCTGGAAAAACGGCATTGAGCTTTATGGACAAGAAAGGACAATCAGAGAAAAAGTGAAAAGACATTTCCTATAATAATAATAATAGAATGTGAAAAACGAGTACTGCTGAAGAAAAAAATACTGAAGTAAAGCTGTCAGTAGAGATTACTGTAGATATTTTGCAGCTTTCTTTTCTTCTTTCAGAAGAACACCACCTGTGTTTTTGCTACTTTTCAGTTGTCTGATCTACTCTTAATGTTCCACATGTTCATCTTGCCTCTGATCTCCCTTGTACAGAGGAGTCTGAACAAGTCTTTTGATAAAGTCTGGAGTGTCCTCAAATAGCAACAAATAGCAGCACTATATACCTTTCCACATTATCTCATCTTCTTCAGCTTTGAGGATCAGACTACCTGTTCATCTCCATCAGTAACTAAAAAAACTCACATTTCTCTTTGTCTTACAGAAGACATAATCTTTGTCTTTTGCACTCCTTTGTCAGCATGAACTGTTCCACAGTCCTGGAGAACACTTTCTTCCTTGCAATAGGAAGATCACAAAAATACGGACTTAGAACTACCTAAAACATGACTGGCACGTGAAGTGAATGTTTCTTTGTGGCACGTGGGATAAATACTGTAATTCACAGTGTACAACAGACTCCCATGAACATGATCTGGCTGAGCCAAAGAAATGTGGCCTTTATTTATTTTTTTTTTTCCTACATGGTTTAATTTATCCATAAATACTTAGGTTTCAGGATAATAGCTTTACCAGGAGACCTAAAGAGACTGTATTCCATTTCCTTTGCATCACAGCCACAGGGAGGGCAGCAGCCCAGGCCCTAGCAGCTGGGTCAGCCATGTGCCCAGCAATGCCAGAACATGATTTAGATCCTGAGAGATTCAATGCTGCAAATTATTTCATGGCAACATAGGTAGCACAAAAGTGTTTCAGCTGAAATCACAGAATACCATCACTAAATGGTAGAGAGAAATTACATAGCTAGTGACATAAATATCTTTACCATTTAAATCTTGTTTAGCTAAGTACAAATGTATTTAAAACGAGGTTTTCTCATTCCTCCCTCATGCCTCTTTTATTCCGATTTGGAGGAAGCTGTTTTGCTGCTTTCTAGGGATTAAGGCTCTCAGACATGGCATACGCATAAAGAAAAACTAGAAAATGGAGTAATGAAGAAAACGTTTTCCTTGCTTAGTTAACAGACAATTATGTCACTGTATTTACTGCATCAGAAATGGTTGACTTTGTTTTGGGTCACCTCATTATTCACCAAGCGCTTCAGTGCTGCCATCAGCTATGAAAGCTGTTGCAAAAGTAGGGCTCAGCAGTTCGCACTTCCTTTGTTTCCTGCCTGACAGCTTGCTTCAATTTCAGCAGTGCACACAATGAACACACACAATGAACAACATGTTCTGGCACTATAGTGCTCAGATACAGCCATTTTGAAACAAACCGCTCTTCCTATATCGTAGTTTTTTTTTTTTCATTTCTAGATTCAAGTTTTAGAGATTTTTCTAACAAGAAATTCAGATTTTCTATCAGGATGATGTTGTCTAATCCCAAGACCCTCATTAGACCCAGGTTCCAGACTAGACACAGGAAAGCATGTGCTAAAAGCAAAGAACATGAGTAATGCCAGTGAGTTCTCATTCTGGACTGACACCATTTGTAGTCCACTTTTGCCTTGCTGCACAATTCTTCATAAGCAGGAAATGTAAGATACAACAATAGCTAATATAATATAGCCAGAGCATACCTTCAGAGCACCAAATCCTGCTTGTCTTATCCTTAGAAGTAGTGCCACTGGTATCAGAGGAAATGCTCTAGAGAGGTAGGTGAATATTCTTATCATAGTTGATCTCTCCAAAATAACACACGTACTTTCACTAGATAAATACATAGGTTGCTCTGAAAGTAATACCTCCTACATATTTCCATGGAAACTACAGTCGATGAAAAGGGCACAATAATGCTATTTGATAGTGGAATTTCTCAGTCTACAAAACACTAATTTTCAGTGTAGCCACCACCAAAAATTCATGTTATAGCTATGCATTTATGTCAGCCATAAACAAGAGCCTTCATGTCACACTTTGCTGGTGAATATTTCATGACGTGAAGTTGTTCCACTATCACTGTGAACACTGCTGAAATGTACCACCCACCACTTTACTGTGCTAACATCCACTATTTGGTCTCCATAAATGTTCAGCAAGCATCAATGAATGTCAGTGGGTGCCATTTTTTTCCACATGAAGGAATTCAATTCCATACCTTTGCTCCATGTGTAATTCCATGTCAGAAGCCATCCTGTCAGACTGCCTCTCTGTCACACAGCAACATGTAACAAAATACTGATGGTAAGTTCAACCCCTTCTGCCATACCACTGACATCCACCTTTGACAATATGGGCCAATATAATAAGGTAGAAGACATTACCTTTGGAACATCATTTATAACACAACATCCTGCATCCACAAAGTACTATGCTTTTAAAACTGCAAAGTATATACAGGCCTTATAGAAGAACCAATATCAACAATGTTATTTCCCTTTCGATATATTTCAGAAAACCCCCTACAAAAATCCTTCTTCATCTTTCTTTGATTTTCTGTCTCTTTATTTTTAAAAACAGACGGTTGAAAGGCATGAAAATATGCATTGCTTAAATTTTACTATATTTTAAAACTTTAGTAAGATCATGGGTCTCATTCAAGATTGTGATTACCCTGTCATAATTAAGGACTGACATATAGAAATAAGAAATCATTAAAGTTCCTAGATATTTCTTTTAAACAAAACTTTTTTCTTTTTTTTTTCCCCAAAGTAAAAAGATGAACAGTAATGAACTGGAAATTTTCCTCTCTTCATATTAAAGCAGTTCTGCAAAATGCAGTCTTAATCAGTGTTTACTTTTTCATTTCTGTTAGGGTATGAGAAATTAGCTGTTACACTTCTTAAACAATATTGGTCTACATCCATCCTACACATACTTAGAATTAGTTATTGTGTAGATATTCACAATACATGCCTAATAACCACCATTAATAAGTAATCCATATAAGATGGTTCAATTGTGGGAGTTAAACACAGTAACTTACTGACTATGCATTAGTTCAATTGGTGCAAATTTCTGACATAGCCATACAGACCAGGTAAGGCCAGGATTTCAGGGCTGTTTTGTGCTCATTTGTTTGTTGGCCAGGACAGATATTTTCTCCATATATAGATACACAAAGAAGACCGTCTCTCTCAGCTGCTTGTCACTGACTGGGTGTTGCTGCTTTCATCTCTCCGTCATTGCAAAGGCAGTCTCCCACATGCAACTTCAGTCTACTTAAATCTGTCTTGCCCATACAACCCATCTTATCAGGTGAGCTGTTGGATGGCAAATGGCACACAGCAAACGGCAGGGGATAAAAAAAAAAAAAAAGATGAGGCTCCTCCACAAGCACAACTGTTTGCTAAGCATTTGCTCTCTGTCCTTAGAAAGTTGTGCTGGAATAATTACTGGTCATGTTTGATACTGAAGTAGTTAAACTATCACAAAAACCTTTTTTGGACATGCTTTTCACTTGTAAGATTACAAAGCAAATTCTCCCTTTGTGAGAGAAACTAATGTATCCACAAGAGCGGACTGATTGCTCCAGTTTAATTAAACAATTTGTGAAAAACTACTGCAAGTTTTCCTTGTAAAAGTTGCATTTTTAGCTGTTAAGCTCATATGTCAGAAACACTTCATTTTTTTTTAAATGATTATCTTCTCCTCTAGGAAAGTAGCTGTGTCAGAATAAAATCAGTGACAAATTTGTGGATTTTTCTTGTTTTCTTTTGTTTTGTCTTGCTTCTACCCACAATTGTTAACATCAATCACATACAGAAAGCCATATCACAGCAAATTCTGCATCATCTTCCATAGCTCATGTCAAGTTATTTCTGACTCATCCAATCTGTCTGACTTTGGTGTGACAACTTCAGGTCACACCAGGTATATGGCTTGGTGTGATCCAGACCACATTGTTATGGCCTCAGAAGATGGGCAGTGCTCCTAAATGAGCAGTACATGAACACAAACAAAAAAACAACCCTCAAATCTGTTATTCTCCAATCATTCTTATCATTCCTTCCATTGTTTGTTTGTTTGTTTAACATTTCAAAGTAACTCAACTCCTGATTTTGCCATGCTTTGACAGATTTCCTACATTGAAATCAAAGTTAAGGAGCTAATCTGACCTAGAGAAATTAAACTGAACCCCTGGAATAATCCAAATAAGAAATTCTACCAACAGCAGTTCTCTCATCACTTGAGAGACAGAGGTTTATCCAAAGGTTCCCAATCCCAGTAAGGAGCATCTTTCAGTATGTCCTGCAAAGCAGAAAACTGAAATTTTCAATGCCCAAACATAACGATGTGATTAGTTACATCTCCAGTGTACACAACACTGTCCTTGAAATAACATTAATGCAAACTACTACTTCTAGCACCCACTGGAAGCGTTACCGAGCATATCTTGCATACATTACACACCCAATTTCTAGACTGCCCACTGTTTTTATTTTACACTAAGCAGGTTAGCAGAGTGGGCCAGACCTGGTTTTCACAGCTTTACAACACCCCATGGAGTACAGGCTTAGTGTTCCTCACCCTCTGAGAGACTCACGTGACAGTATCAAAGCTAAGACTATGGTAACGCATTGCACAGGAGAGATTAACAGCAACAATGTCTACATGGGGGGACAGGCATGCTACACAGTGCTGCACAGCTCTATTCCCGATGTCATCCAAAGTGGAGGGTCTGTCGGAGCAAACTATCAGTCCTTTCTGGCTTGTATGCCCAAAATAACTCCCCACTGGTACAAGGGTATAGTGAACACTTGTATGTCAAGAGATTAAGTTAGATCAAGGCAAAGACCCTTCTGGGCTCAGGAGATGAGCAGTGCACCTGTGGGACTAGCAGAGACATCAAACATCTTGTTCTTCCTCCCTTCTGAAACG